CCACACACACACACACACCCTGAAAAACATTACAAGGTGAAAGCACAGATATGAGCTATATAATATTCCCCATCCCAACCCTAAAGAGTCTCCTTATGGGAAACCAATATATCTGGGGACACATCTGACCTGAGCGTTGAATTCCCATTGCAAGGAGAGCTACACAGAAATTTAAGAAAAGTAACCCACCCCAAAGTGACAACAGAGAGGTTTAACAAGCCGTTTTGGTGTTTTTTTGGGGGTAGGCAGGATAAGACACACATGTGATACTTTGCAGAGGATTGTGGCCCGTCCAAGACACTCAGGGCCCTGCAGTGCTGGCGAGAGCTGCTGGGGAACGGCCAATTTCAGTTCAGGCAACAGCTCCCCAGTTACCCAAGCAAGAGAAGAACAGGAGGACTTGTGGCACCTTAGAGACTAACAAATTTATTAGAGCATAAGCTTTCGTGGACTACAGCCCACTTCTTCGGATGCAAGAGAGATTTGCTCAGTGACTGAGCCCCATTTATTAGGAGGCTCTGGATGGAATCAGAGGCAAAAAGGGTTTCTGCCTCTCCCTGCATTGAATCCCCACCCATTTCAGCTTGGACAGTCATTCGTAAGAGCGGATAAGGTAATGAAGTGGGCAAAGCTATGCTTCTCTTTTCAGGTGGCTTCCAACCACAGCCACTGCTGAGTGGATATAGGATTTCAAACAAATGCAGACATGTCACTGTTGTGCAAGTGTGGAGGGAGTGGGGTCTTTTATTTAATGATTTCCATCTGAAGTAGTGCTCAGAACGGGTCTGGACTGACAGTCTACTTTTAGCCACATAAGGGCCAGCATGGCAAGCATCCTCATTGTGCCACCATGTCCAGTCTCCATGGCCTTCTTGACCCTGGCATTTTTGTGGATTGAGACCTACAAAATTCATTTCATACAATGGCTTCTGATTGCTACCAGCTTGGACTAGATTTGAACCAGTAACCTAGTGTGAATGAGAGTGTTCCCATTCACCATCTCCTGAGCCATCCATCCCCTTTTGTACAGGTGAAGTGTTTTTTTTAAAATGCATTTCTAGTGAGTGAGGAAGAACGTAAAAAGGGATTTTGGAGGTAGGTTTGAAGTCGATTTAGAAAAAACAGGCACATTATTCAACAGAACCCTTTTGTGTCACCCTTCCAAAGATGCTTCATCCTATACCAGGGCTGTACAACAAAAATCGTCCCATGCACCTTGACCCCTGCTACTGAAAACGGTGATGCAAAGAGGGCTTCAAAAGGTCACCAGTGGATTCCCAGTCACATGATTCTATGAGTTTCCTGCAGAGCGGAAACAAAAACAGCGAAGGAGAGGGATCCTTATTTTCCAAGTGAGGGAGCGCCCAGCAGCGAGCTGGGAGGAAAAACAACAACTGGGCTTAACTGGCTTCTTTTCCTCCATTGTCGAGCAGAGCAAGGTCCTGAAACGAGCCAGCTCAGCCCAACACACCATGGCATGAGGAGATGGGTCCCTGCTGGCATGCATTCATACCCATTGACCGGCTGGAACAGGCACTCCCAAGTCTTGGGCATGCAGCTCCCTTGGATAGGCACATTAACTGGAGCGGCAAAGGGATCTGCAAATCAAAAGACTAGTCCATCCGCACCTTGTTCCATGGAAACACCGGAGTTCTCTGCTTGTTCCGAACCCTTCGTCCCAAACCATCATCCTCCTATCAGGAGGCATGGTGCTGCCATTGCTACAGCACGGGAGGACTCAAGCCTCTTGCAGGGATGGCGATCAACCAGCTTCTGTATGGGACTCAAGAGCCCGGGATGAAAGCCCCAACTGTAGTTTCATTATCCTAATGATATGAAAATCTACACCATCACCAAAAGCCAGGACGACAGGCTTTGTAGGTTAAAAATATAATAAGCAAAACTCCATTAAAATGCTTGAGTGCAGGGGATGTACATGGGAAGGGCCAACTTACACATTTGGACTATGTTAAGGCAGCAGTGAAGAATCCTAAGGACCATCCCTTTCTCCTCTCAAGAATGGAGTCTGTAAAGGAGGCTGGGGCAGACCTTTTCCAAAGTAACCTGGTGAAATTTTAAACCCTGTGAGACCATTAAAACCTGGAACTATGGGATACTGAGTGTAGTTTTACAGGACAGGTGTAAACATGCAATCAAGCTGAGGTACTGCAGGGTCTATGGGTTTGACTCTGATCTCAGTCAGACCAGCATACACCAAGATACAATGGAGTCACTTCATATTTAAACTGGTTTGACTCAGGTGGAAATCAAAGGCCTTCTCTACACTGGGATATTGATCCATGGTTGACACTGGCTGACAAACAAGGGATACCACACCCTCACCCACACATTGGATCCCTTTTGACCAGTGCTGGAATCAATTCTCTAGCAGGTGGTATTGAAAATAGTATGGTCTTGTCACCTATACCAGTCAAACCACTTTCAACTTGTGGAAGGAAGGGGCGATCAGTGATCAATACCCTACTATCAACCAGGGACAAGCACTGCTTCCTGTCTATACTAGGAGAAGTGTGTGGACTTAAACCCAGTAATTAGAGAGTAAGTGGAGGAGGAGGATGATTTGGGACACGCAGAATGTCTGGAGCCATTTCCCTTTACCTGACGGGTTGATTTTGCTCAGACAGACTTGTAGCATAAGAGCGTGGATGACGGGAGCCCTGGAGGTGGCTGCTAACTCGGTAATGCTGAATGACAAAGCAGACTCAGGTATAGGAGTCATTTAAGCGAGGATGTAAGACCCCTTTTCTCCTATGGCGCTTTTCTGCAGTTCCTGCACTGGAGAAACTAAGACATCTTTCACCAGGATGAATAAGGCGATTCTCCCTCCTATACAGAGAGGAGATTCCTGTTTTTTGCATCTCATCTGCGTGTTAGGATTGGCTTTGCCTTCAGTGAGGGTCAAGCATTGGTTCACGCTATGTATGTTTGGAACAGTGCCTAGACAGAGGCCGAAATGCAGCAACAACCAAGGGAGAGCCTTGCGTACAAGACTTCACCTGATATGGCAGGGGAAGTGGATCCACTTCTAACCCCAGGCCAGGATGGATCTTCTGGTAACAGGCGGAGTCCAATCTGCTTTGGGAAGGAGAGAAATTGAACAAAAAGGAACCCAAAGAAACACAGGAAAGGTTAAACCATTTAAAAAAAAGGGGGGGGGGGGGAAGAAGAGACAGAAAAAGTAACAGAGCCCTGTATGTAATGAATGACTGGAGGTTACTCTACTGAGCCACACTTTGCCCTCCAACCCAAAACCGGATCAAGAGGAGTTCTGGTTCTGATAGATTGAGGCTTTCTCCTTCAGCAAATCCAGACACAAGTGACAGCTCCAGCTCCCTGCAAGAAGAGGTGAAGACTCAGTAACTAGGCTTTCCCAGAATGCTTAGTGAACTGCATATGTGTGAGGGGGCGATTTGCCGGCTGCTGAAATGTAGCCAGCTCCGGGGTGGAACACAGCAGCTGTTTAACAGGACGATAGAGCAACGTTAGAACAACAGATTAACAGGCAATGCTATCTAGGGTGCCAAACTGGGGTCTATTTCCAGCTCTGCCACTGACCTACTGCGCGACCTTGGGCAACTCACTTCCCCTCTCTGTACCACTATTTCCTCTCCCAGCCTTTGTTTATTTAGAATGTAAGCGCTTTGGGTCAGGAACTGCCTCACTGTGGGTTTGTCCACACAGTGTTCATACTGCTTTTAACTACACCAGTTAGAAAATGGTATAGCTAAAGTGGCACAACCCCCTAGTATGGAAACAGTTATACTGGTGCCTCATGCCAGTAGTTTATTCCAGACTCTTGGTTGGGGCCTCTAGATATTAATATACTACTAATAATAATGCACATGCGATAACAAGTCCCAATCTCTTTTGGGCCCTCAACCACTACCACCGTACTACTAACAATCTTGGCTGAGCCCCCAAAGTGCTACCATAATATTACCAATAGTGCACATACAGTAACAAGGCCCAGATCTTGGTAGGGGCATCGTAGGGAATATGGTCATATTAATAAATGACTTAGGAGAAAGTGAACTGGCAACATAGAGATCCCAGATTCAGTCCCTTTCCAACTGGCAGTAAATATGAAGGAGGCATTAACCCTTTAAGCCCTCCCACTCTCCAGTGGCTCCTTTAGAAGCAAAACAGGATGAAGGTTGTGCAGCCTATTAGGCAGTACTGCTCGTCTCTTACAGTCCTTGCCCAATTCCCAATTATGTCCACAAGCCTCATACTCTTGTCCCTGGAACATATCTAGGGCTCTACCAAATTCAGGGTCCGTTTTGGTCAATTTCACAGTCATAGGATTTTTAAAATCGTAAAATTTCATGATTTCAGCTATTTAAATCTGAATTTTCACCCTGTTTTAATTGTAGGAGTCCTGACCCAAAAAGGAGTTCCAGGGGAGTTGCAAGGTTATTTTGGAGGGGCGGGGGGGGGGGGGTACGGTATTGCTACCCTTACTTCTGTTCTGCTGCTGGCGGCAGCGGCTGCCTTCAGAGCTGGGCAGCTGGAGAGTGGCAGCTGCTGGCCGAGGGCGTAGCTCTGAAGGCAGAGCCACCGCCAGCAACAGCACAGAGGTAGGGATGGCATGGTATGGTATTGCCACCTTCCTTCTGCGCTGCTGCCCGCAGAGCTTGGCCTTCAGTCAGCAGCCGCCACTCTCCAGCTCTGAAGGCAACGCAGAAATGAGGGTAGCATAGTATGGTGTTGCTACCCTTACTTCTGTGCTGCTGCTGGCAGGGCGCTGCCTTCAGAGCTGGGCTCCCGACTAACAGCCACCACTCTCTGGCCACCCAGCTCTGAAGGCAGCACAGAAGTGAGGGTGGCAATACCACGACCCCCCTAAAATAACCTTGTGACCCTCCTGTAACTCCCTTTTGGGTCAGGACCCCCAATTTGAGAAACACTGCTCTCCCGCATAAAATCAGTATTGTATAGGGTAAAAGCACACAAAAGACCAGATTTCATAGGGGGATACCAGATTTCACGGTCTGTGATGCATTTTTCATGGTCGTGAATTTGGTAGGGCCCTAAACATATCCCAACAAGTGTTAATCCAGGACTATGTGCTCCCAGTATGTTAGGAAACAAAGCTCCCAAGATCTTCAGATATTACTCCATCTAGGTAATGTTAAGTGAGATAATTAAAAGGCAATTTAAAATTAACATGGGTGAATCTAGACCAGAGATTGCTTCTGGCTGCTCAACTGTAACCAGTTTGCTTTGAAACCATGAATCAGCGCATTGTGCAAGGAAAGGTGGGGCTGGTGGAAAATCTGGACTCTGCCACTGTACTCTTGATTTTGCTACCAACGCAGAAATGTTTCCACGCTTGGCAGGATGCAGTCCCCATACTTCCTTCCTCAGGAAGCCTAATGACATTCCTACCACATCCCAGTTGGCATAGAGAAAGTGATGATTTAGTACTAGGAGGATCTTACTGGAGAGGGCACTGCCCGGAGAAAGTGTATCTGACTATTTTGACAGCAGGCTGAGGGAGGGAGGTCCACAGACCTCATCTAATCTGACCTCATGCATGACACAGACCAAAGAATTTCACAGGTTCTGATGTAAGCAGAAACATCTCTGATCAATTTCAATGAGAGCTGCACCTGCTTCCTCCGAGTCTGAATTTGTTGGCCCTTGTATCTAAATCCTCCCTTTTAAATATCAATATTGGATGTTTTTCCAACAGATCTACTCCGTCTCAAACATCAACTAATTCAGGGTAGTCCCATGGCCTATGAGATACAAAAGGACAGACTAGTTGGATCACAGTGGTCCCTTCTGGACTTGGAATCTGACTCTAAGAAAACCAAGGAAAGTTATGGGGAACTTGGAGTATTTGTCCAGCACCTAGCATAATAGGTTCTGTCCCATGACTGGGCCTCCTAGGGGATATCCACAATATGAATAAGTAGAGTCCCAACCTAACCCTACACTTAGCACAGTGTTCCCTTCACCACAAGATCCTACACACACCACTTAGCACATTTGTCAGTTTAAGAGGCACCCAGGACTGGAATAAGTGAGAGGGGGTGCTACTGCAAATTAGGACTGTAGGGCACTGGGCAGGGAAGGGAAGGACTTGGGCAGCAGAGGGATCTGTGGGTTAGGATCATAGGGAATCAGCAGAGCTACATGTGTTAGGGAGCTCAGAGCTGAAATAGCAAGCGAGGCCATGCAGCAAGTTTGAGGGACCTTGGCAGAGCTCTGGGTGGGGAGGGAAGCCAGGCCCAGAATAGTACGGGATGTTATATGGGATTCAGAGACGTGTGGGAGAAAGTTGCACATTTCCTGCTTGCATCATGCCGTGCCGTGACCCAATGCTATCAATCACTAGTACTCAGAACCAAAATCATATAAGTTATCAGAATTCTAAAGAGATAGATGAAGAATGGGCCAAGGAGCACTACATTTACCTTCGGGTGGCTCGGACATGGGCGGAGTTAGACAGTACATGTGATACCCACGATCACAATCGTCACAGAAGAGCAGCTGGTCCTAAGCAGAGGGGGGAGGAAAATAAAGGAAAATTCGGATGATTCAACACAGCTTCACAAAAGGGCTCTATTTACAAATCACTGCATGATTCTGCCATCCCACAAAGAACAACAGAGAGAGCTATAGTGACATGCGAGTCTAACCAACTCCTCAGGATTAGACCTGCCACATTTGACACTAAAAGCATAAGCCTCTACCACTCAAGCCACAAGAGTAACTCCATTAGCTGATAGCAGTAGTAGATTCCTATGTGGAACAGCCACTGAAGAGGTCTGTGTAACACCTGCAGGGCTGGATCAAGGCATACTCACATGCCTAGGGTCCTGGCTCTTAGATTCATGTTAAAAGGTCAGGATTTCAGGTTTTGATTTTCTACCCTTTGGTACTGCGAAACAAATTCTGATAGCGTGACCTGAGTGTGATGCAGAGACGTCTGCCTGAGTCTGCAGAGAGCCTGATACATTAGCTCTGTCTAGGATGGAGCTTCTCCATAAGTGACTAATGTAGTGATGCCCGCCTGAGTCTGCAGAGAGGCGATTAATTGCTCTGAGAATGGAGCTGCCACATGTGAAACCAATACAGCCTGTCTGTATCTGCAGAGATCCTTAGGTAATGGGAGAAGCAACTACCAAAACCAGTGGGGAAGCCACATTCCCCAGCTAGAGTAGAACAGGTCCCCTGACCTAGGGGGAGAGGGCAATGTAATGGTACACCTAAGGTCTCAAGCTGCATTACTCCAGCCTGGAACACACACTCCCCGAGAGCCTACCTTGGACATTATCCATAATCCTACCTCCCAGCTAGTCTCCATTCAGAATTTCAACTCCCACAGTAAACTCCATTCCAAAGATTATTCTCCTGCCTCTGCCAAAACTGTGCAAGCTTCTGCTCTCGCTGTGCAGCATGGCAAGATGTAGGCAGATAAATACTTGGGGAGATAATTTCTGGACACAAACGACATGTACCCCTTGAGGCTTGCTGGTCCCCATTTGCAGGTGGGGATGCCCAAAGTGTCAAGCTTGCTCTGCCATGGTCGATCCTGCCAGCACCGAAAGGTACTCACATCATTCTCCGAGGTACCACAGATGTTGCAGCATTTACACTCGATGCACTGCCAACGGTACGTCTTCACTGCTGCCATCATAACAGGGGTGAACTGGAGGCAAGAAGGGTGCCCTGCCAAAGTGGGTGAAACAAAGCCACACATGGATGTTAGACATGTCAGGCCTGGACAAGTGGCAAGAGTTCAGAGAAGCAAGAGAAATGGAAATGAAGCATGAAACATAGGGAGGCAGGAAGATACACAGAGGTTGTTTCCAAATAGCAGCAACTGCAATGGTGACGGCTCTTGCCCCCAGAGAGGAGGAAATAGAGAAGGAGCAGTGCTAGACAAGGAAGGAAGTAGAAACATACAGAGAGGCTGCTCCAGACAACAGCAGAGGAGAAGGCTCTCCAGCTAACAGGAGAGCAGGGTAAAGAGACAGACAGATGGGGATGCTGAAGCACGGAGAGGGGAAGTGACATGCTCATGGTCACGCAGCCAGTCAGTGGCAGAGCCAAGGGTTGAACCCAGGAGTCCTGACTTCCAGTCTCTCACTCTTCTAACCACTAAAGACCTTTCTCATTCTACAACTGTATATGGAAACTAGAGGTCCTGAATCCCAGGTCTCCTCTTGCTCTAACCCATTAGACCCCTCTCCCCTCCTTCCAAAGCTGGGAACATAAGCTAGGAGCACTGACTCATAGTCCCCCGTCTCCTCCTTCAGCTGGCTTAGGTGGGACAAAAGAAACCAGGTAGCCAAAAGTTTGCACTGGCCTTAAATAAAAGAGCAGAAATGCTCCTGGCTCTGGGCAAGAGAGACATCAGCGTCCCATCATGCATCACTGCAGCCACCCATGGGACAAATAAGAGGGCAGCCAGCATAAAGAACAACCCCAACTCAGTGAAATGAAGCAGCAGCAACACCTCATGCTGGATCACAGGCATCCAGCCTCTTGAATGCAGGTATTGCAAATCAAAGTACCTGATCGCCCACAGTCTGAACATGACACCAGCTCCTCCGGGTGCCCAGTCTTCTTATTGATTTTTGAGTCTCCCAGGCAGAAGTCACAGTAATTGTTGGGCAAAGCCAAGCCATCAGGACCTTTCTTGGCTGTTTGGAGAAGAGCCAACCCCACCCCACCAAACAGAGACAAGGTTATTTAGAGTGAGCAATGACACCTAGAAGAACATCATTCAATGAGATTCCTGCAGGGACTTTGGCCCACATAAGCTTCCAGATGCAGCAGAGAGGAATCACACCATAGCCAATGTATCCACTTCTAGATCCCTGCATGGATACAAAATGTATATCCATGTATATAAAGCGGATATCCGCAGAGATGAAGGGCTCTAGAGACAATGAGCGAGACCCACAGGGCCATGACCAGCAACCAGGCCAGGAACGGCAGGAGCATGTCGAGCTGCCACTCACAGGAGCCAGTGCCCAGCCTGGCAGCTCCTCCAGCATGGCTGTACTGCCCCCAGCCCCGACCACTGGGGCGGGCATAAAGTTCACCAACAGCAGTCCCTGGTCATGCTAGCACGTGCAAACAGCTCGCACACTCCTGGACAGGAGTCCCTTCCATGCAGCAGTGTGCATCTCTTGCCCAAGAGCGTGCAAGCCACTTTCACATACACCTCTACCCCGATATAACGCAACCCGATATAACACTTATTCGGGTATAACGCGGTAAAGCAGCGCTCCGGCGGATCAAAGCAAGTTTGATATAACGCGGTTTCACCTATAACACGGTAAGATTTTTTGGCTCCCAAGGACAGCGTTATATCGGGGTAGAGGTGTATTAGCTTTCGCCGCTGGTTTCGCTTGTTGTTGCTAGAGCCCTGCAACTCCGCAGATATCCACAGGTAAAAAGCGGATATAAATTTTGTATCTGCACAGGGCTCTATCCACTTCTGCAGTACCTTTCATTTGTGGATCTCAAAGCACTTTAGAAACACAAAGCCTCAACTCTGCATATGACAAAGGTAACTGTTCTTTTACCTGTGTTATGTAAAGGTAAACAGACAGAGAGCGGAAGCGTTTCGCCTAACACACAGCTAGTGGGGGCAGAGGCAGAAAAAGAATCCAGGAATCCTGAGTTGTGGGCTGGCTAATCTAACCGCTCTGCTAATTCCTCCAACCTAGATTATATTGGTTCCCATGGATCCCAGGTGTCTCAGCTCCCTTCTCCAAGACACTAGGCTCCTAGAGCCAGGGACAGAACCAAGGAGTCCCGACTCTGAGCCCCTCTTGTTCTAGCTCTCTAGACCCCCACTTCTCTCCTAGAGGTGGGGATAGACCACAGGAGTCCCAGCTGTAGTCTTGGTTCCCTCACCACTACACTCTGGCCCTATGTCTACATTTCTAACAAAGGCTACAGAAGAGCCAGGACATGCAGGAGACGGGGTCAAGACAGTGGCTAAAGGTCTTACACTTCTGCTCCTCGGATCTCTGAGAAACGGGCGTCGGGGGCTGCGAATCTTCCTTATCCTCCCCCTCCTCCTCGGCCAGATGGGAGTGAGCATAGTGGTAACTGAGCCCAGGACGGTTCTTGTAACGCTTCCCACAGACTGCAAAAGAAAATGGGGATGGGTCTGAGCTCCTGGCAGGCATTTGAGCCACACACATCACTGCTCACGTGCAACCCCCCAGCTCCCTGTGACAGCCCTTCCCAACCCGCCCTCCTCCCGAAGACACAGCATTTATCAGTGTACAACAGCCAACATGGCTTCAGGAGGCTACTTCATGAGCCAGCAGACTCATGGCTTGGCCAGACCCTGAGAAGCCATGGGCGTTTCTACCCTTGTTGACTGTAAGCCATAAATCCTCCTACTTTTCCCCTACATCTCCTGCTTGCCCAGCAGATCTTCATGGGGATGGGAAAGCTTTGTCCAGAACAATCCAAGCCAAGAAACATAGAAGGAAATTCTCATCTTCTCTTCCGTTTAAACCTGCCTAACTAAGAAATCCTGAGCCCCCAAAAGGTGGTGTCTCCTTGGATGCATGGTTTCTCTGATCAAGTGACACTGGAACAAAGCTGAAGGCATCCCACACAGAATCCCAGAAAGCAAACACCACACTATCCCCACACTCCCACACACACTTCTGTTGCCTCTGCCTGCTTTGCTGTCCCTAAAAGGCAGCTGCTTTACAGCCACAGGAGGTAGAGAAAAGGCTTGTTTTCCATGCAATAAACCAACCTCCCTTGCAGGGCTGGAAGTAGAGAGCATGATGCCCCTGGAATCGGAAGCCATCTCCCTGGTCTGCATTCCTTTCTTACCATTTACCTCTGACATGGTTTGGTAACAGAATGGCAGCCTCAGAGATCAAAGCCCACAGAACAGGCACAGCGCAGACAGCATCAGCGCAAGTTTCTCCCACACCCTCTGGCCACAAAACAGCCAGGACAAGTCCTACTGTAGAGGGACTTCCCCACCACTGTGGGGTGACAAAATGAGCTGTCAGTCTTCATGGCATATCCACTGGCCTCTCAGTGTCAACAGAAGGCTTCTGAGAGGTGGGCACCACTGGGAACTGGTCTGAGACCAACCTGACTCATTTCATGTACTAGCGAACAATCAGCAGTCAGATGGTAGCTGCTCTTGGTCATCACCAACAACCTAGGCTGTATTTGAACTGCTGAGCTGGCAGTGAGGGGCTCGTATTCTACCCCCCATCCTGAGCCACCTGATAGCCATTATAGCAATTACACCTTGCTTAAACAGAATTGGGGGTGGGGGCAGGGACAGACAACAGGTTTTCTGTTGCAATCCACTCCCTTTGTGCTACTGGAGTGGGAACCTCCTACAAGTCTACAGCCAGGGAACCCCTCGGTAGCCAGAGCTGGCTCTTATGCCTCCCTCTTTACAGTTCCCAGCATAGGGGTCTGTCTGTCTGAGGAGTGGCTGGAGCATGATGTGCTGCTGCCAACCCCAGCTGGCACATGGTTCCTCAGGGATCATGCCAAGCTAGTGAAAATTAAAGCATTCCCCCTAGCCTGCTCTCATTTGCCTTGGAGATGGAAGCTGGGCCACAGTAGAGGATCTCCCTTGCATGCAAAGATCCCTTACTTGGCCTTCTCCCACTTAACCCAGTGAGACAAAAACCCCAAATCCCAATTATCGATGCCACCAAGCAGCTGAGGCAGAAGGGCAGTAAGCAAAATGTTCAGAAGAGTTCTGAGAAGAGCCTAAATCCCACTGACCTTCAATGAGACTTGGCTTCCCTAAGTCACTTTTGAACCAGGGCTTAGGCATTGTGCCCACTATAGAGGGTTTGTCAGAGCAGCTCTATCAATAGAGCTACATCAGCAACCCCTCCCTAGGCCAGGTCTACACTAGGGATTTCGACCGGCATAATAGCTGTCAGTCAGCAATACAAAGAGCAGAGATCACCGACTGACAAAGCTGTGCTGGCAGAAGTCCCTAGTGTCATCAAACCAGCAAAGCCACACTTTTACCAATACAGCTTGTTTTGTTCAGGGGGAATCTGGGTGTGCGTATTGGTTTTACTGTGCTGGGATAGCGCTGTCCACGCTAGGAGCGATTTGTCAGTGTAGTATATGGACTGAAAACCACTCAACTTGTTTCATACGTTGGCCTCCCAACCACAGTCAGATGAGGACTGTTTTCAGTCACAATGACCCAGACTGGATTCAAACTGGTGGTAAGGGGTTCGGTGTCCTAGCCCCACTCTGAGACAGCTGGTGTGCATTATATCTATTACATTCTGCTTGAAACAAAACTGGGGAGGGGGAAGAATACCAATAAAGCACTCCCAGCGTAGACATGGGCTTTAGTGGAGATGCACCCTATACCACCACCACCACACACACACACAAAAGTTCTTTTGACAGTATAACTTATACTAAGTCCTCGAATGAAATAAGCTAGGATTTTTTTGCTGGTATAGTGTGTCTACACTAAGGATTTTATTGGCACAGCTTGTTGGTTGGGGGGGCAAAGAGGGGTCACACTTCTAATGGACATAGCTATACCAGAAATACTTTTCAGTGCAGGCCATGCCTTAGGCTCCTAAGGCACTTAGTTGCTTTGGATAACTTTACTCAAAATCCCTATCACCCAAGCTTGCTAGTGGGTGGGAATGGAGTCCTGGCTGGATAACAAGGAGGAGAGAGGCAGGGCAGGAAAGCAATGAAGCTTAAACTGGGTCTTGGAGAGGGATGGATTAATTTGGGCTTGCCAAGATTTACCCAGAAAAGCAAAGCTGGGGACAAGGGAAATCCCAAGCCTCGTAGTTATTTAACTGAAGACTTGGATCTAGCAAAGAAAGGGGAAAAAAGACAAATCCCTCTAAAACCACTTTAAGCCACAGTCAATTTACATAGCGATTGAAAAGCCCATTTGCCAAAGGGAATTATTACTCTTAGCTCTGTGTAAACACAAGTACAAGCCAGGCTGGGCTAGCTCCTCCAGCAGCACTGTTCTCTGGATACTTCTGCTGTGGCAGGGATCTTGCACATGCTGGCTTGGATGGAATGGAATTGGACTCTGAGCAGTCATTGGGAAAGCCAGGGTTATGGTTAGCTTCTCGATGGCTGGCCTCTAGTCTAGGCGATACCACATTTTAGGTATTTAATAGTCATGTCAATGAGAATTAAAACGTCTATTCTTATTCTGCATATTTCATTCAAAGACCCCAAAGCACTTGACAAAGGGGGATATTTATCCACCACTTTATAGATAACAGAAATTAAGACTCTTGCCAAGATCATGCAGAATCTCCAAGGCAGAGTCTGAAGCAGAACCCAGGAGTCCTTACTTCCACCCCCCCTTTGTTCTAACCACTATATCCCACTCCCCTCCTGGAGCTAGGAAGCCTGACTCCTCCTCCCCTCCCAAATCCAACCCACTAGATCACCACTCACCCTTCCTGGAGGTAGGACTAGAGCCCCAAGGGTTCTGGTTACAGCCAAGACCTGAGCGTCAGACAATACTGTTGCACCACAGAGAACAGAGGCAGCAGAGGACTAGCAATGAGGTGGCTGGGGATGGGTAGGAGAGCCCATACACTGAATTTCTCTTCACTACAGATGCCATGTAACAAATGATGGGTGATCAGGCCCCATGTGAGGAGTTTAATGAAGTCACTGAAGTATGCACTGTTGCAGAAAATTGCAGACCCATAACTTTCCCATCAAATATTTAACAGAGCCTGCAAATTCCAGAGCCCCAGCCAACGCACTGGCTTGCCCAAGAGCCTTTTGGACCTGGTGTTGCATTAATATCTAATCCCGGCTGTGGAAGAAAAGGGAAGCATTTGGCAGAGCCGTGCAGGTGCAGCTTAAGCGAGATGGGGTAGCATATTAGCTAGGAGGCACAGGAGCCCAGTGAGTCGAAAAAGCCACCATAAGTCTGAGCTAAGAGGCAGAATGGCAGCATAAGGAAAAACCAATTTGATTCTTATTACACCATCATTTACCAGCAGGGCATGTGTCACTGGTGTCCTGGCCAGGCCAGGCGGCATTGCTACAGCAGCCAACGGGGACTGGTTCAAGCCATCCCACCCCCTTCAGAATTCTGAGGACAATGGTCAAAACCCCCAGCCCCCCATGATGTCATTCATTCAAACATCTTGCAGTTTTAATGGACCCATAACATCTCCATTTCCCAAAAGGCATCCCAGGTGATAACCCAGAACCCCTAGAATAAAGATGGTCCTTATGTTTCAGAGGAGGCCTAGCCACCATCATCACAGAGGGAAAGAAATCATGCTTTTTTAAATAAAGTACATATATTTGAGCCAAAATCTCAATGGCAGCTGATAACCTTTGACCTTCATCCAGAGTCTGGCATGGCCAGGTTCTGACAGTAAAAGCACAGTGCCTATTCCAGTAGCAATACACTTTGGCATTCCTTGAAGGAAAAGAGCCATGCCTCGGCCATTCCAGAGTGGGTTTGAATTGGTCACGTGAATTTACTGCTGACGAAAAGGGCCAGATTGACATCCCAAGACAGTGAGGCCTCTTTGCATCCACAGCACCAAGAACAGCTGGGCAAATTTCTCCCTGCACTGTGGGCAAGAGGGAAGATTTTCAAAAGCAACTCACAATTTTGGGTGCCCCGTTTGAGACATCTCTGAGGGGCCTGATTTTCAGCAAGTACATGGGCCCGCCCTCTGAAAAACAACTAGTCTGACGAGGGAACTTGATAAGTTTACGATCAGGCTAACATGACAGGGCTGCCTGAGATAGAAGGACCTCTTGGTTCTTTGAGTCTGGTCCCTGTTTAGTGTAATGTTCTGCAAATCAGGTCCCTTTAATAAGGGCTCTCAGGATGGGCAACCCAAGATTAACAGTCACGTTTGAAAACCATGGCCAAAGTGAAAGGAGAAGCTCAATCTCCATGGCCCGTTCAATCCATGGCCTCTCAGGCAGCAGGAGAGCCAATCAGTGCCAACTGTGGTGGCGGTTTGGTTTGATTTTTCTTGGTGCTCTGGATTGCGACCCCACTCCAAAGAGTCTTTAAAACTAACATTCCAGGAGAACAAAGTCAGGAGGAAATAAAAAAAGCAGACAGAGAGAATGGACTACCTCGGTCGGGAGGTTTCAAGGTATGCTTTTGTTTGTAACTATCTGAAATACAGAAAGAGAATAATGAGAAAAAAGGTGAACACACCATAGGTCACACACATGGCAAGCAACAGAGAGCAGAGTGATTTTAAAAAGGAGAAAATAGAAAAAAAATACTGCTTAGTTTTCTTAAAAAACTAGTGACAATTCTACCAGGACAGTAGGAAGGAGAGAGAGAAGTAACTGCAAAAACTCAGGATTTTGTACATTCTTTTGCCAATTTAAAGTTCAGAATCACAGGAATAGCCGCCCCCTTGGGCTGCTTAAGCTTTTCCAGTGGCATTCCCACTGACAGCAAGGAAGGAAACAGCAGCATAGAACTCTGCAAGGGGCAGCATGGGATGAGTTCTTGGGGGACGTAGTGGCTGCTACCAAATCAGAAACGGAGTAACGCACGACAGGGACGTCACAGAAATCCCATTTACTTGCCCTAGACACGCGCTTGATGTATTCATTCCCAGCAGGGCTAGTATGCCTTTCTGTTGCCAATAAAATTATTGAAATTGAATCCCATTAGAGATAAATTAGCTCTCCCATACCACAAGTGTGGCATGAAACTCATGTTTCGTGGCCAGAGCATGGACCAAAAGGTCTTTAGGACAACGATCAGCAAAGCAGCGACTATATCTCCAGTAGGACAGAATTGATCCCTGCCCTCCAGTTGAACTATGAGGTCTGAGAAGAGGGAGAGGACAAAGTAATTGGATTCCACAAACCCTGCAGCAAACAGATAGCTGAGTCATGTATTGCATAGCATAGGGAAGGGTGGGTTGGGCTTTTCCAGGCCCATAAAACAGACTGAACCTAGAAATCAAAGACAGGAACCCTGGTTAGTGGGAATGAGACCTCTGTGTTCATTCTCCCCACTACTCATACCCATACAGTCAAGAGGCAATTCTCACCATTAGATTCAGAGACCCTGGCTGGACATTAATATGGAGCTCGGACAGCTCCTTGCAGCTGAACAAAAAAGTAATATGTTGGCACTGCTGCCAGAAATGCCGCTCACACCTGTGGTGCAGGCTAAAGTGTTGCGAGAATGCAAACGGAGTGACCAGCCATTTCATGCAGTCCAGACATCTGCAATGGCCTCCTTGCTTAGTGAAGATTCTGCTGGAGTGGGAGAACCTGCCCCCTGCCCCCAATGCCAGATATCACATGTGTTCTTTCCAGGGGGGGGGGGAAAAACTGGATTCTGCGCACCCAGCAAAAATGACAGATCTGGATTAGGGCCACAGCTCCAGTAAAAACAAAGAAAGGGGGAAACTTACAAGTCCTCTGAAATAGTCTCAGATCCACCTTCATTTTGAGTGACTATGACACCCCTGCAAAAATCCCATCCTGCCCCCAATGGATCCTGGAACACCATTCCCTTCACCGCTCACTCCAAAAGCGAATACATTGGAGACAGCTTGGTCCCAGAGTACAGACTACAGGGAGACAAGCGCTTTTCATACTCACTGTCGCAGGCATAAGGTTTATCTCTATCTTCTAATATGGCTGCATCCAGCTTCTTCCGAGCACCACTGACGCCTTTACCCTGGGAAGCAGAAATCATATCAGTAAAGTGCTGTAGCCAAGACATTTGCTTCTAGAATTTAGTAATTCTTATGCCACCAAACTAGCTGACAGTCCATAAGGGACTAGTCAAAGGGGCTCCTGCATGCCTGTAGTTAAGATAACAAAATAACTAATCTGCTTGAATAAAGTCAAATAGCGCCCCTTAGTGGTCTTTGCCTGAGATAATTTATAGATTTTAAGGCCAGAATGGCCCATTAGATCATCTAGTCTGACCTGTGTAACTCAGGCTGGAGAATTCTGGCCAATTACACAAGTTATTGGGCTCAATCCTTGGGTTTTGCTAAAGCTTCTTCCAGAAAGGTATCCAGTCTGGATTTGCAGACACCAAGAGATGGAGAATCCCCCACTTCCCCTGAGAGTTTGTTCAACAGTTAACCACTCTCTCTGTGAAAAACGTGTGCCTTATTTCCAATATGAATTTGTCTGGCTTTAACATCCAGACATTGGTTCTTGTTCTGCCTTTCTCCCTGTAAAGGACGTATACACAGTAAGCCCCGCAAGTCTGATTCAGCTGACTTGGACCAGCCACAGGTGTTTAATTGTAGCATAGACATACCCTAAGTCTCTCCATGCATTTTCTCCAGCTCTCAAGTCATTTTTGTGGCTCTTTTCTGCACCCTCTCCAATTTTTCAATAGCCTTTTTAAAGTTTAGACACTAGAACTGGACACAGTATTCCAGTATTGGTCTCACCAATGCCATACAGAGAGGTAAAATCACCTCCCTCCTACTTAATACTCCCCTATTTATACATCCAAGTAGATCACATGCCAGGCAAGAACAGGCCTTGGAGACCAACACAAAGTGGGTCTCAGATTAAAACAATCAGAGATTTTCTCAGGAAATTCAAAGAACCACATTAAAGTGAACTAAGATGTGGTTATTTATCCAGTTGACCCAGCCCAGCTACCAGAGACTGACTATCCCTTGAGAGATTTCTCCCATTTTCTGAACATGAGAGACAGACTGTGATAATATAATAATGATTATTCTCTAATCTCATGCTTCAGCCCTGCATGGGTTAGGAAGGATTTTTTTCCCCCCCGATATACAATAATCTATTTTGGTTTTCTTCCATCTTTTTCTGATATCAGCCACTGGAGGACACCCATTGGGGTGGACTGGTACTCCGAGATGGTTCAAAGGATCCTGTGTCTTTCACGCCTGGCTGATGTGTCTTGCCCAAATGTTCAGGGTCTAACTGATCATCAGATTTGGGGTTGGGAAGGCATCTTCCCCCAGGACAGACAGCAAGGGACTTCAGGAGGTTTTCATCTTCCTCTGCGGGATGCAGGATGGATCATCTACCAGGATCACCTGGACATGTCTCACCTAATTAATTCCCTACCATTAAGCATTGGTGGCACCTCACTCTCTCCTGGAACACACAACAGTTTAGTTTCCTGAGGACTAAAATGCTTTGGTTTAACTGAAGTCAATGTGGCTACTGCAGGGATGACTGGCTGAAATTTAATAGCCTGTGCTATATAGAGGTCAGACTAGATGATCTAATAGTTCCTTCTGGCCTTAAAGTCTATGGAACTGAAAAAGAAGTGAACCAGCAGTAGTAATCACCCAGAAGATCTAACCCACAGGTGGGTTCTCATTAAATTATTTCCAGGCAACACTGCAGCAGCATTTGAGAAACTGCTTCAGGGCTCTCCTGACTGATCTACTGTGAGACTGTAGTAAGTGTGTCCTGCCTGCATCAGTGCAACTCCAGTGGACATTTCAGCTGCTGCATCATCTAGACCCTATCTGATGACATGATGGCAAAAATGCACATGGTGCTGTCTACACCACGCTCTTGGCATTGCTAGCACCAGTGGTAGTGAGACAGTGGGGGGAGGGGGAGGTTTGGGAAGGGTTGGGCAACCAGGCTAGGGTTTTCAAAGCAGGGAGCCAGGTACCCAAATCCCATTGAAATTCAGCTGAGTTCCCCTAGGCTTCTTTGGAAATCCCAGCCCCCATTTCTTAACACTGTGGCAACGTTGTTCTGTAACCATGTTGGCTGTGGATATATGTAGTATTGAATATGGCTTAAAACATGATCACAAGCATGAATGGTGACAGGCCTTTACAGCGAACATTGGTATATCAGTCTTCAGGAGAAATTCATAGGGTAGACTCAGCACAGTCACTAGGCTGGGCCCAGCGAGACAGAACCAGGACAACCCACAGCACCATAACTCACCCAGCTGGCATTACCTTGGCTTTGCCCTTGCCTCGTCGCTTTGGCGTATCCTCTTCATAGTCTTCATCATCCAGATCATCCAGGAAGTCATCAGGTTCAAGGATCCGCTGTAGAGGGGAGAGGGTTTATTGTAGGGGGAAAAAAACTTGGCATGGTTTGGGGAAAGAAAGAAATGGAGAATGGACAGTGATGTTAGAAACTGGCTGAGGGATGTCCACCAGAAGCTACAAACACATACGGAGGAGTATGTGGCATATATGAGGGGGTGGGAATTTTCAGGTACATTTTACTCCCAACCACACCAAAGAGAAGGCTGGTCTTGTGATTACAGAACCAGGCTGTGATTCAGGAGACCTGGCTCTCAGCTCCTGGATCCACTACGGACCTTGGGTGAGTCTCTCAGTCCCCAATTCAGCATGAAACTTTGAATGTGTGGCTAATTAAGTACCAAGTAGTTATTTATTTTTAAAAAGATGCAGGAATTTAATCCAGGGGCACATAAAACATCATAGCCAAGAAGCTTATTGCAGAACAGACTCAGTGATGAGAGAACTGCAGTGCCAAGCAACACTGCTCAGCCCAAACTGGGAGCTATTGGGGAAGGTCCTACAAAAGGTTCTGCTAGGGGAGTAGAAGAGAAAAATGAATTACTATGGAGCAGATTCTCCATTCTCACCATTAGAGGAAGAGACACAGAAGTGATGCCTTCTCCTTTAATGCATGTTTGGATGGAGGAAGTGGGGAAGATATAATGTGTAACAGATTTTGCTATCCCCAAAGTACTTAATGCTAGCAAACAGAGTATAAGTAATGGTGGCTAATTATGGATTACTGTGACCACCACCCTTCATGGTCTCATTGTTTGCTTGTGCTCTCCTAGTCCGTTTGTTGTGTCCACCTGTTTTCTCTGGTCTTACACTCAGATTTTAAGTTAAGTTCTTTGGGGCAGGGGACATTTCTTTGCTCTATATTTGTACAGGGCCCAGGCACAACGGGCTCCTAGGCACTATTTACATGACAAATTAAATGAGACTACTCACGGTCTTAAAGTTAGGCACTTGTTAGATTGGGGCCTTAATCTCTTGGTGCCTCAGTTCCCTATCAGTGAAATGGGGATAATACTTTCGACCCAACCCTTTGCCTGTCTTGTCTATATAGAACTTTTCAAATAGAAATTGTCCCATTACCTAACACAATATGTGCACAACACCTGGGAGAATGGGGCCCTGATGAGGCCTCTGGATGCTGCTGTGATACAAGGAAGGGAAAAAAAGAGTGTCCCATGCAAAGAATGTATAACACAGCCACCATAGTAAAGAGTGCTGTATAAAAGCCTAGAAAGAAAAACATTGTTTACACTGAAGTTCCCGTGATAATACATTTCTCTAGCACCTTTTGTCCCTATATGGTCCACAGAGGGGGACTGCTTCACACAACACTAAGTTGCAGCTGTCTCTGCGATGGAACGCAGATTCTGATTGTGGAGAACTGGGAAACTTCTGATTTATTTTTATCAAAGAATGTATGACTGAATTTCCTCTCTCACCTTATATTGTTGCCTACCAGGTTTGAAGGGGTTAAACTTTTCTCTTGAAACAAGACAAGCAGTACAGTGACTGAGGGGAAGTCACTAAGCATAAATGAACTATCAGAAACTAACAACATTAGAGATTTGCAGTAATTATCCCTTAAAGATCCCCATAGCATGGGGGGAAACTGCAGAGACTGTTTTTCACAGGTTCCTGAGAACCAGCAGACAAAGAACTGAGAAATGTACAGAATGGATGGACAGCCGGGTGGGGTATGGGTGTGTCTTACTGATTATAGTTTCACGTCAGCTCTTAGACCCAAGAGGAACAAACCCTGATGAGCTGTTTGAGGGACCTTGAAACCTACCAGGGTTTCCATGTGGAAGATGGATAACACCTGGTAAAACAGCATGGGTATAAGCTATTTATGGTTTTCAAGATATGTTTTCTCTGTAGTGAGGGACAGCAAGAGCTGAACTAAACTTCAACTTGCTATGGTGATCAGAGTGAGTTTCAGGAGGAAATTGTAGCTTAAATTTCCAGAAAGAAGGGAGAGGAATGCAGGAATGCAGAAAGGAAATGGGTCAAGACCTGAGTGGAGATGTCCTAGGCCAGGCCATAAAGGAGTCAGAAGTGCAGTTGCCTTGGTTACTGTGATATCAGTTTCACACCAGCCCACCAATTTCATCTGGAGTTACTCCTAATTTACACTAACCAACCCCAACAGTTTAGGACAAGAGTAAGAATGCATCTGCCTGAAAATGTATTGGGAATCCAGGAGGGAGAATTGGAATTTGACCAAAGACCTCAACTCTTATGGAAAGAGCCATAGGATATTTTGTGACCAGAAAATATTTTGGAATTTAAAGTCTGTACTGTATACAACTCAATTTATCTGCCCAAGAAGGATAAAGAACAGAGCCAACCCTACTGGGATTTTAACATGTACTTCCAGCAAGTCTTCCTCTAAGGCTGTTTAAAATAGTTGCTCTGCGGTGCAGCCAAGTAGATAGAGCACTGGAATCAGGAGACTCGTAGTCTTATTCCACTGACCTACTGTGTGACTTTGGCCAAGCCTCATCCCCTCTTGATGCCTCTGTTTAAGCTCTTCAGTGCAGGAACTGACTCCTTTTGTATGTTTGTTCAGTGCATAGCACTGGGGCCAAGCTTTTAGTTGGCCTACAGCAACCGAAATAATAACTAGTAGTAATCATTATAATTTGCTCTGGTAACCGAGACCCATGAAACTGGAACATTTACGGCAATGCATTGCATCGGTACTGAACCAAGGAAGTTATTGCCAACCTGATATTCAAATCCACTAAACCATCCCTTCTCACTGGATCACAAAGGAATGCCCAAGACAATTATGCAAAAGAAAATACCCAGGCAGAGGTGGAAGCAGTTTTACACATGTAAATCTGCAAAATTTACAGCTGGAAAATTCCCACCCCGAACCCTCCTTCCACAAAAATTAGTCTGACGATGGGGTAACGGATAAGAACAAAATGCATGCTGAAGACATTCTCTCTATTCAGCTCCAATCCTTACTAGGCTTGTAGGGCCCTGGTATGTGAGACGTTCCTGGAGGTCGGCCAATGCATTTAATATAGATTCAGCAGTTCAATAGGAGATGACGAAGAGCAGAGCCCCCTGTGGCTTTGAGGGCCTCATTTACATTTCACAGCAAATTCCTCGCCCCTTATGGGAAAAAAATTCCTAGAACCCAAAGTTAATTTGCAATTGGGGTGGGGAAGCGGAGAAATCTTTAACAAAATAGAGGGAGACTCTAGGATTCCCAGGATCTTAACTTCACCAGACAGCAGGATTAAACACAGCATTGTAGTGATTGCACAAGTTAACAGAGGAGCCTTACACATGCTGCTACAGCTCACAGGCAGCCCTGGACTCTGGTCAGAGCCACCTAGTGGAGAGAGCACTGGACTAGGACTCAGGGTTCTATTCTCAGCTCTGCCCCGACCTGCTGGGTGATCTTGGGCCAGTCCCTTCAACTCCGTGCCTCAGTTTCCCTACCCGTAAAATGGGAATCATGATACTTACCTCCTCTGTAAAGTAATACTGATGAAACATGCTCTACAAGAGCTAGGTATTACTTTTGTTATTTTTAACATGCTATACAGCAAGTGGGAGCATGGGCTAGGACACAGGGCTTAGTATCCTCATCTCAAAGAGGTGAGGGATGATGCAGAGATTAGGAAGAAAGGAACTTTGGTGTAATGTCATTCAAAGCATGACACCACCTCATCCACCCCAGCATCATGCCACAGCTATGGAATCAATCAACCCAGACTATGATGGAAGGTTTGAACCCCATACCTCCTTTTTGCAGAGGCAAACAGAAGTACCAACCCCAAGGTTCTTGTAGGCTGGCCATCTTGTGCTGTGAACGAATGCGCATCAGATAACATCAGCAAGGGCAATACCTGAACAGTAGAGCTCCAAAGCATAGAAACACCATATCTGATACAACAGTGAGGGACACATTAGTGAGCACAAAGTGCTACAATGAGTAGTGAGGGCAACTCAGTAGAGAGCCCTCCTCCAAGTCAGTGCTGATCCCAGAGCCTCAGTAAGATACAAGGGCACTGCTGTGTGAAAGGAACAGTGTGGGCGACTCAGCAGAGGGTATTCCTCCACATTAGTGCTACTGACCCCAAACCCCCCAGAAGGAGGCACAGAGTTACCATTTTTCAGATGACAAGGAAAATAAAATTCCCATTGCTTATGGGGCATTACAGGTCCCATGGAACTTTGTATAACAATAAGGGTGATATCCTGGCTAATTCCATTCTGCCTCACTTAATCCCCTTGCAGTTTCATTTGGATACAGTGTTCTTTGCTCCCGCGCTAAAGTTTTGTAAACAGCCACTGCATTCCATGCCAGAGATGGCTGCATGTGAGGGGTGGATGAAAGTACCCCATTTTGTGATCTACTGATGACAGGTGCTTGCAATGAGGCACACAAATCCCACATTGCCAGGAAAAGGTTAATGAGCTGCTGTAGGCTCAGTCAGCCCCCTCTGCTATATCTGCAATAGGTGTCAGTCTCAGAGGGAGGAGTTAAAAGGGAAAAGCCCAGCTCTGCTGGGAGCTGGATGGGAAGGAGAGCAGACCTCCCAGCTCTCACTCTGTAAGAGAAGTCTGGCTTGGGCCAGGAACTGACTAGAGATGGCTGCCTGCCAGAGCCTCCCTGAAGAAAGGTAGGCTTGACACAGGACTACAGTTTTGATTTGCTACCTGTCTTGCCTCTGGGTACTGAGTAAGACTAGTACAAATAATGCCCTGCCTGAAGGGGGTGATTGTTAAATAAAACCCTTTTGTCTTCTGTACCCGACCAAGGACGTAGCAGTGAGTTGTCATGAGCCCAGGAGTGAAAATAGTGCTATGTAAGAGCTAGATGATATTATTATAATAACATAGCCACCTCTTATCTACCCTTACATGGGTATAGTGAGGGCTTGTTTTCGTAAAGGGCTTCCATAAACTTGGATCAAGTATTATCCACTGAAGAATTCACACAAGGTGCACCAGCTCTAAGCCAAAAAACTCACTTCAAAAGAAACGAACAAGTCTGGCTGCACAAGTATCTATAAATATAAAACCTAGTACACATGGCTCCCCATAAAATAAGGCTGCAAGAATGAATCAACTTAAGCACCGAGTGAACATCCTAATGTTACCACAAAGGTGGGATTAATTGCTGTTGCACCACAGCCATGTTAGTCAGGACTGCAGCAATCAGTTGGAGATTGAACTTGTGCCCACAGGTGGGAAGTAAAGTAGTGACTACAGTCACAGGGCTTCTGCTTGAGACAACAAACACAAAACAACAAATCACCAACCTGGGCTCCAAAAGAAATAAAAGGGAGAACAGGGGTGGAATGGAAAGTGGTTTCCAATTACTTAATCCTAGGCAATGAATGACTAAAAGCCCTAATTACTTTTTAACATGCTCTTTATCAGTAATAAAAAAAATGGTAACATCATGAAGTAGGCAGTAGCCCTACTGTCAGCAGTGTTCCCTCTAATTTTTTACATCCATGTGCAGAATGAATTATGTGCACGAATATGGAGGCGATGTGTGACATATCACCTTCATATTGGCGCACATAACAAAATTCATGTGGTGGGGCCAGGGATGAGGGGTTCAGGGTACAGAAGGGGGCTCAGAGCTGGGGCAGAGGGTTGGTGAGGGCTCTGGCTGGGGCTGCAGGCTTTGGGGTGGGACCAAGGATGAGGGGTTTGGGGTGCAGGCTGCCCAGGGGCTACAGTGAGGGGAGAGGACTCCCCCCAGCCCTCTCCCCGCCATGGCAGCTCCACACTGGGGCCAGCGGGGAGGGGCACCTCTCCCCACCGTGGCCCTGAGCCCCTGCGCGGGGCTTAATAGGCAGCTGTGCAGCAATTTAGACTGTCAGCTGGATTATTTGTATCCAACAAGGAAGAGCAGAGCTACCATTTACCGAAGTATGAAGCTCTTTGGGGCAAACCAATACTATGATGATGAGGCCCTGTAAATACAAACACACACCCAAATTTGTAATGTAAAAAATAATCCCTTTCAGGGACCTTTTTCCATCATAACACAGCCCAGCCCCCTCCCCCCCCCAAAAAAATCCTAAACCACATGAGCACAGTTCTTATTCTCCTTTTGCAGATCTCTTAAAATTACAACTCCGCCCTTGCTGCAGATTACACAAATGCCCTGACTGGTAACAATGGAAAGGTTTTAAACAGATATTTTTTAGAGGGTGCTTTGTAATTTCCTTGCTTGTTCCCAGGAAATGGGAACATTTATTTCTCTGCAGACATCCCGAAACAGAGCAAAAAATCACTGCAGGGTTCCCTGTACTGAAACTTTGTTGTTTAGGAGGCAAAAGGCAGTGGGATCAAGGGGGGAGTCAGAGCATGGTACAGTCCATGATAGTGTGCTTTAATTGATGTCAGCTCCTTCCTTACCCCACTTTTCTTTTAAGCTGCTAGGGGCTGAGAACCTACAAGCTAAAACTTTGGGCCAATGCAAAATAACAGAGCTGAATTATTACCACCACCACCTTGTGCTTCTATAGCGCTTTTCATCAGCAGATCTCAAAGCAATTTACAAAGGAGGTCAGTATCACTAGCCCCATTTTATAGATGGGGAAACTGAGGCACAGAGCACTGAAGTGACTTGCCCAAGGCTGCCCAGCAGGCCAGTTTCAGAGTCAGGAACAGAACAGTCTTCCCGAGTCCCAGATCAGTGCTCTACCCACTAGTCCATATTGCTCTTATACTACTTCCCTCCTCCACTGGTAGTCAGGGCAACAGCAACAGCAGTAATAAATTCATAGTAATAATAGTAGCTAACTCTAATACAGCAGAGTCAGTGGCAGAGCCAGGAACAGAACCCAGGTCTCCCAAGTCCCCATCCACTGCCCTACCCATGCATCCTCTCTATTAAGCCAAAATGGGGCCCAGATAAAATGAAAGTTTTCTTTTTCTACCACCAGAAAGCAAATCCAATAGTTCACTGCACTCCTGGCTTCCTGGTCTGTCACTGTTACCTCCTGCTCCCCACACCCAATGGCAGGCTCCCACCAGGGGTTCAAAATTTTGAGTGCTCAGTGGTTTCCTCCTAGATCCAGGCCTTCATCCTGCACCAAAAGACACACACACATCCTCAACCACAAAAGCAGCAGCCGGAGAGGGGCGTAACAAGAGAGAAACGGGGTGGGGGGAGGAAAGAGTGTGTTTTGTTTGTCTTTACAAGTGAGACATTTGTGTTTTACCATGAAGCTCCCTCTTGCAACATAGGGGAGAACGCCCTCTCTCTGCCGTACCTTCCGCGCACGGCTGTTGGTGACAGGGAACTCGCTGAGGCTGTCATCATCGTTGCGCGGGTCTGGCAGGCTGCGTTTCTCCAGGGGGTCAGTCCTTAGGAGGGCCTCCAGGCTGCTGCCATCCTGGGAGATCAGCCCCTCTTTCTTTAGGGTCTGATCAGTGTCTGTACAAAGGGGAAAGAAAACTATAGTCAAGAGCTAAAAAAAGCAGAAGTCAAGCAGGTTCTCCATGCTACTAGGTCACAGCTACACCACCAAATCAACTAATTGCATGCAAGAGAGAAAACACATCCAAGCCATTAGCACAATTTGGAGATGTAGTTAGGACCTGTCTACATTGTGGGACAGAGTTATCATGTCAGGTATCAGGAATGTTGCAACTGGGTCCTGCGATACAATTGATTCTGTAGCACAGATGGGACCTTGAACTGCACTGGCACTCTGAAAATATCATTACAGTTCTTCTAGTCCAGTATCATGAGCTACCTGCCATGCCCAGAACCATTTTCTCTGGTATCTCCACCATCCAACTGCATTGGATCAGAACAATGGGTCAGTCTAGCCTGCTACCCTTCTACTCCCTGTAATGCTGAATCAAACCAATGGACCCATCTAGCCTGGTACCCCACCCCCTATCCCACAATGCTAGACAAAACCAATGAGCCCATCTAGACTAGTATCTCTCCAATACCAGCCATCAACAGGTGTTCCTAAAGAAGATGTACTCCCTCCAAAATACGCAATTCTGCAACAACATTTATTAGGGAGGGGTATTTTCCTCAAGACCAGATGCTTAGTAGTTGGCTTACATCCCAAAGGACAGTGGATCTCTATGTTTATCCCACCTTGGTGCTTCCCAAACCTGGGGGATACCACACTGGTCTAGAGAGCCATAGGGTAAAAAACTGGGGAAAGCTGCAGAACACTGATCTACTCCAATTCCCCACTGAAAAAGTGTCCATGTCGGGTAAAGCAACAGGCAGCTTCTTCAAACATACATTCCCTCCCTGCTCCTGCAATGGTCCCAAATCAGCTGCCCATAGGAGCAGCTCAGGTGAGTAGAGCTAGCAGTTGACTGCTCAAGTTCTCGCTACGTAGAGCTCAGCCACAAATGCCACAACCCATACAGTGCCAACAATGGATGATTTCAACCCCAGCTGGTGTAACTGTGGCATTTATGGAGCTCAGTAGTGCCAAGAGGTTATTTCTGACCATGCTCTATGCAGAGTATGGATGTGACATGGGTGAGGCTGCATTGTTAACCCAAGAGAGGAACAGATGAACACAGAACTGGAAGGGACCTCCTCCTGGGTCATTGAGACCACTCCCCTAATATCACAGGAAATAACCTCAGGCGAAACAGCTCATGAGAAGAGCCTAATAACTGCATTGCGAGCAGAGATCAGAGGGAGGGGAAGTGTCACCTGGTTTGATGGAAGGGAAGGAAAGCCTCGGATCCTCAGGAGGGTGAGCACGGCGTTTTTTCCGCCAACGGCGAGCTGGGTAGGAGTAGAGCTGGCCAGAGGCTAAACCTTTAAAACACAAAAGAAAGCCTGAAACCTGATATTCTCTGACAAATTGATGCCACAAAGCGATGAGTATAGGCACTGCCTTTGGAAATCAATGGGGATTGTGGGTAACCCCCACACCCTTCAGGATAAGACCCCAAGTTATTATGAGTATTACAGGAGCACCAAGATCAAGGCCCCATTGTGTATGGCACAATCATATAGCAAGAGAGATCTTACCACCACACAGTTTACAATCTAAAACAATACATGGTGGAAGGGGGAAACTGAGGCACAGAGAGGCAAAGTGACTTGCTCATGGTCACCCAGCAGGTCATTGGCAAAGCCAGGAATAGACTATGTCTCCTGATTCCCAGTCTAGTGCCCTATCCCCTGGATCACACTGCCTCTCTGTAAAATGGGATAAATGTTGGGAGCAAAACTTAGCTGCTAAGAGCATTCCATTCCTCATTGTATGAGAGGTTCAGTCTATATCAATGCATAACAACATACAGAGTGTGGTAAGATGAACTCCTGAATGAAAGGGCTGAGGGGAAGCTTCTACCAGCAGCTGCATGTTTGCAACCAAATTTTTGTTTCTTAAAGCCATGGTCAGGGGAACCTTCAAAGCTGCAATCCCACACATTCCTCCCACACACACTGAAAAAGGCTGTGAGATGCCTACAAAACACTGCTGTCTAGCACTGCTTAGGCCAGCTAAGATTTATGCTACCTCAGTACACATTATTACGGAAATTGCAGTAGCATCTAGGAGCACCAGTCATGGACCAGGACCTCATGGTGCTAGGTGCTGTACACGGTAGAACAAAAAAACGGTTCCTGCCCCAAAAGGCTTCCAATTGAAGTATTTTTTTTACCCCATCCTTCCAATCAATCGTCGTCCCATTGTGTCTGTTTTGTCCTGTGATACAATCTGGATATGCTCTCTGGACCAGGAGCTATCTTTGCAGCTTGTCCACGCAGGGAATAGCACAATGGGGCCCTGATTGTGGTCCACAGGTAGTATCATCATATAAACACCATCAAACACATTTCCTTTTCCAGGTTAGGGGATGTCAGGGCTTTCTCTGCATTTCCTAATACAGAGTTAGGTTTTAAGACTAAATGTTCCAACATAATATTCCTCATGACTTAAACAAATTTGTATTGTCAAAGAGCTATATAAAATAACACAAATTTACAAAGGTGATCAGTATTACTATTCCCATTTTACAGAAGGGACATGACTTACCCAAGATCACCAATAAGCCAGTGGCTGAGCCAGAAACAGAACCCAGGTCTCCCGAGTTCCAATCAATGTTCTAGCCACTAGGCCACACTGATCCCACATGTATTGATGAGATCATAAGTAACAGTTCTGATCCCAGGACACAGAGAACCTGAATATTTTCTCAAGTTCATAGCAGGTTAGTACCAGAGTCAGGCAGAAACCAGTAGCCCCAATTTTCAGTTGCCGTGGTTTATTAAGTCACACACTCTACTCAGAGACAGGAAGGGAACCCAGAGATCCTAATTCCCACTCACATTGCTATAATAACTAGACCCAACTGCCTTCCAGAGTTGTGACTAGAATCCAGGAGCCCTGACTACCAGTTTCCCTGCTCTAACCACTACACTCCATTGAATACAGAAGGCTGCTGAACTTATTTATGCAACACAATAAACAGGTATGTCTTCAGCGCTGTGCATGATGAAAGATAGCTGCAAAAGCAGCTGAGGAATGATAAGGGAACTGTAAAACAAATGTATTCCTGTTGCTTCGAGGCAAACAGCCATCATTAACCAAAACCAAACAGCCTCCCCGCTCCTTCCTCATCTAAACACTTATAAAGTGCAACAAGAGTTATGCCCATGTACCACAGGGTGAATTGGCCCTTTAAGGGATTTCGTCTTAGCCCCCACCTGTGACTTTTCAAATGCCTCCCAGCTGGTGAGATAAAATGCCAAGACACAAGCAGTTCTCTTAATAAGGAGAACTGAAGGACCATGGGTCATGGAAAGGACTTGGAAGGCATGTTTGCCACACAAGCTAGGGGAAAGACTTGGCTAGAGATACCTGCTGTGCAGGCAGCAGCAGATACCTTAGGAGGGGCCAGGCCTGTCTTGAATGATGTTGAACTCTGTTTGAAAAATTAATGCATCCCTGGGAAAAGGAGATTAAATACTGAGACATTGGAGAGAGCTTCACTGACACACTGGTTGGTTAGCTGGCCTGCTAGTTTACACAAGAGTGGGTAATAGGGGAAGTCTGGTGCTGGGTTTGGGCATACGCTACTGTACCATAACAGCAGAAAAGGCCCTACCTGGGCCTCTGTGACGCTTCTCCATCCAGATGTAGCAGTTGCTCTGTGCCACTCCGGTCTGCGAGTCTAGGAAAGGCAGCCGGACGCTCCTCTCAGCACACAGCCTGGCGTTGTAGTTGTGGCACTGCTCCATTGCGTCTTTGTAATATTGCTCTCCAAGGCTGTGGGTTGAGGAAACAGACACCATGTATTAATTATTAGGATTCCCTGACTAGCTGCCATCGCTGCTTGCCTTTCCTGGCACTTTCTACACACCTGTTTTTAACACTCTCCTGACGCTCTGGCAGGATTGGATGTACCAACATAAATATTGGAGCTAGACCTTTGTAAAGACCTGTAGCCAACTCTGAAGACAACAGAACGGCTGGAGCCAAGCACTAGGGACCACTGACAAACAAACCATTGTGATATATTTTGCTCTTGGGCAGGACTTCCCAGGAAACCCTATATAGAAACACCTACCTCGGGACTTTGCATCCTCTGACATTCCATCACCACCACGTAGACATGCCCAAATCAGACTTTTAGTTAGAATTAACATTAGGGAGCGGACCAATGACCCATAGAGATCAGATCCCTACAAGAACCCAGCTTCCTGGAAGGTATCTGGAATTACTCCAAGTGTGATACACACCAATCCCTCCAAAGTAAGGATTTTAGACAGTTCTCCGAAAGCTTTTGGCATATTTTTCTCAAAGCTGTTTACACTGAATAATGTTCTGCATGAACCACAGAGGCTTCCTATTAATTTTTAGTGATTTTTTATTTTATTTAATATTATTGTTATTAGTTGTCAAGTTGCATAGCATTCTAAATCTCACGAGGGTGGATTTAATGCTGATGCAAGTAATCAGCCTATTTAAATCCCAGGATGGTGGGCAGAGCCAACTGTTGGCTCCAACCATCTCCTTCCCTGCCCACTCTCTTTCTCTCAGCTTCACTCCACACCTGCCCTGTTCCCCTCAGTCCCTTCACTTTTCATTTAGATGACCTCCCCCCAAAAAAATCAAACTCACCTAACAAAAATTGCGGAACATGCTGTTTGCTGACATCACACCGATTCCTCTCGTGTGTGTGATAACCCCTTTCCCCATCCTCACCTGTTTGATCTATTTAGATTGTAAGCTCTTTGGGTCAGGAACTATCTGCTATTCTGTATTGTCTCTAGGCGCAGTTCCTCTGGGGAGTGTCCACTACCTCAGACACCTTTGAGGAGCAGCAGACACTGTTTGGGGTTCTCTGCTTGGTGTCCCCCTCTGGTTCCCTGATTTTTAACCATTGACCTCACTTCCATTCCTGTTGTCTCCTTCGCAGTCCCATGTACTCACTTGTGCCCTCGGCCTAGCGATTCCTACCCCTTGGGGGGGGATGGGGTGGGGGCTTTTAATTTTGGGCAGGTCTAGACTCATTTGTCCAGTACCCGCAAATAGTACTCTGTGTTTGTGCAGTGCCTAGCACAACAAGGCTCCATTCTTGGTTGGTCCTTAGGCACTACCATAATAAACATGATTAAATAAAGGTCCACCCCCTCAGATGAGGGACATGCTGCAGAGCCCAGCACTTACTTGATTACAGGGTACAAAGTATGAAAGGCAGGTCACAGGGTCAAAATGAAGGGTCTAGAGGGAAGATGAGCAGAGAACCCCAGACCAGCCTATTTGAATCCTCAGGAATGGTGGACAGAACCCACCAAGAACAAAAGACCCATCCTCTAAAGGGAAGTCCCATGGGACCTAGAAACTGACTGAATACAGGGGACAAGTGGAAAAACAGGAATGGAGATAAAGGTCAAAAGGTACATAATGAGTGAACCAGATGGGGATACAGAGCAGATAACACAGGACCAGGTTGACACCCCTTGAATCTGAAGCCCTGTTAACCAAGAGTATGAGCAACGGAAGCTGCTCAGAGCCAATCACCGCTGCTCAACTCTGGGGAGGGAGATAAGTCTCCATGGCTCTTTCAATCCTTGGCATTTCTAGCAAGGGAGCCAATCAATTACATCTGTCCTGCTGAGAACTGGCTAGGAGGTCTATCAGACAGCCATCATACAGGATTTTTTTATTATTATTATTATTTTTTTAAAGGCATTGCTAACCCCAGCTGGAGTCAAATGGCAGAGTTGAAAGGCTCTATTACCCAACTGCCAACTCCCTGAGCAACCAATCTTTCGCCCTAAATATCATTTCATGAAATATCACAGAATGATGCACTATGTACAGAGGTCTTAAAACAGACGGGTTCCAAGCTACAATTCTCCATAAATAATTCACTATTTCATACAAGACCATTACCTTGATTTATATTTGGGTTTTCAATTAAATTTTGTACCAAATTTCTGGTTTTTAAGTGTTAAAAAGATGGGTATCCTAAGTGGAACTGAGTAAAGGAACCAATCAGCACTTAGTAATTCTCATCCCGCTCTGACTTCTATGACTTGTCTCTCTTGCCTCTATTTCACCCCAGTGGATATACCTCCAGTTTAAAAAACTTTGTTGTAGCCAGCAAGAAACCAAGAGACATTGCTGGTTATTGAAGCATTCTGTATCATGTGCGAACAGTAATGTTAATAATAGTAAAATTACTTATTACTATAGAGAACATGTTAACAGTTGCACAGAAAAAGAACCCGAAAGATATCATCCAGCATGTGAAAAATGACATCCTCTGCTTGACATATCCTATACACACAAAAACATAGCATGTATTTCTTGGGGGGCATTATCCTCAAAATATTCTCACATCTCTCCTTTTCGCCAAACAATTTCTACCATCTGGAAATACCAATAAGGTAATTAAACTCTTGCCTTCCATTAACAGGTGAAATGTAAGTCACTCGCAGTCACTAAAAATCCCACAGTCCTTTTCATGCCCAAGGGCCTTATGCAAATTATAACTCTGGTATATTGTGCAGTTTAAATTGGATATAGAACTCCTTCACTTTCTGCCCTAAGTTGTTGTGCAGTGGGGCTGCCATTACCCAACCAAGAAGTAGCTGGATTTTAATTGATGAGTGGAGTGATCCTTGCATTTTTGGGATATTCTTTTATGCAGTGCCTTCCAGAGTAAGAAATTTGTAATGCATGTGAACCACTGAACAGATTCAAAAGTCCTTAAATATGTCAAAGACCCTGCAGTGCTAACAGAGATTCTCATTTAAATCAAGTGTTGGAGGCATGTATCTTGGAAGGAGGCTTTGAGTTCTCCCTTCCTGCTACTGTGAAGGCAGAATGATCTCAAGTTTGCCACACACAGACAACAATAAAAGTATCATGGACATAGATTTGCCACAAAATTATGGAGTAGCATTTTGGAGTGATGCCAAAAGCTGTATTTCCATCCCCACACTCAAAATTCAGGTGACCTACCTACATGCTATGTTCATGTCCTTATCCTCTGAGTAAAACATTGATTTGATGGCCCCTCTACTTAGAGTCTTTTTATATTGTTATGCTATTCTGAAGCACATTTTCAATATATAGATCCTAGAGAGAACAAAAAAAAATCCAATTCTGCTTGGTAATCAGGTTAGCAAAAACATCAGAGGGAAGTCAGGAACTGACAGGAAGAATACAAGATTCAGATTAAATCTAATTTTTTTTCCCCTTCAAGGGGTTTTTTTTTTTTGCTACAGCAGCACTAAAGACTCACTTAATTGAATGAGCTATAATTATAGTAATTTCAATGTTAAAATCTTGCCACAAAGTAGCAGGGAGAGGGAAAGCAGAGAATCTGGTGGCTTCAGCTTGCTAAAGAAGAGAGAATTTTATGTCTCCGATGCCAGGAGAGGAAAGAAAGAAAAAATTAATACATAAGCACAACACCCCTTTGCTTACACACACACACCCTGACACTTGAATACTGGCTGAAATGACCGCATCAAACCAGAGAATATGAGTTAGAGAGGAAAGGCACTCAGGCTGGCTCCATAACACAACTCAGTAATTACACACATAGTAAGGAAGCTGCTAGTTTAACAGGATGAACAACAAGACATGACACATAGGAGCTTGTGTCTTTCAGGCAACACATGAGAATTTGCACATAATATTCCATGCAAAATATCTTGCTGGACATAACGCAGAACAAAGGCACACACTTGGGATGGGGGAGCTGAGATTTAAATATCTCAATCCTGGTTTTGATCCAACACCAGTGAAGAACAAGATTAACTCATTTAAGTCAGCGAAGTTATACGGAGGAAAACTGATGTAAGCTAAAGGAGAACCAACCCCATTAACTGGGGGGGAAAACTTCCCAAAAATAAGAAGATATTAATATCCATTTCAGTTGCAAATGAAACCTCCCTGGCTCCACACCTGCACAACAAAGATTCTGTTTCATCCACGGCCCTCTCTGTTTATGCACAGCACAGAAAGATTTGACAGCCAAACAAGATTACGTGAGGGATAAAATGGTCCACAGAACCAACTAAGAGAGCCACCGTCCCTATGGGTTTCCGACTGTCAGGTTAGCACTAATCTTAGCAAGTTCAACACCACAAAGTAGTATGTGGCATAAGTCACACCTTTTTTAAAAATTCAGTGGAATAGGGAGGTCCTGATTACAGTACTGTTGTCAACCAACACAGTTAAAGCATAGTTCTGTGTTGCAGCAGATTGAATTTCATTATGCTTTAGCCATGTCCTCAACTATGCTATAGATTTGGACATCTCTCCCTTTACAGCTAAATTTGTAGCATAGACAGGAGTTTAAGCTATATCCATACTACAGATGAAACACTCAACTGCTTGCTAGGACAGTTCCCCGATCAGTGCATGTAGCAATCGTTTGCCCTGATAACTGATAAGTAAATGATGCTATTGACAAAACAAGTCTCTTCTCCACTTCAGTTTCTAGAAGCAATCCAGTCCACTGGAGAGAGCCCTCCTGGACTGAGTTAAAAGACCTGGACTCTATTCCCAGTTCTGCTACTCACACAGAGTGCTATTAACAGCTCTGTGCCTCATTTTCCCCCATGTTCGAAACAGGGATAATTCCACCAACTACCCTCCCTTGTAAAACACTTTTAGGCTATGTCTACACTTGAAGAGTTTTTGCGCTGTCAGTTTCACGGTGATAGTGAACCAGTGAAAGAAAAGCCCTGGTTTGTGTACTTACTTCCACAGGTGTCAGAGAGTGTTTACATCTGCAGCAGTTCCCCCCTGAGAGCAGCACATTGAGGGCAGCTATCCCACAGTGCAGCCCTCTCCATTTTGACAGATACTGTGTGAGTGAGAGTGAAGGGCATCCTGGGTCTCTTCACAGCCTCCTCTCCCTGAACACTGATCAGCTCCAGTAGCTCAGCATTGCTCCAAGCAGGGGATCTTGGGTCCTTAGAGCAGCCATTGTCACCTGGCCAGATAAGTGAGCACTTGCCAAGAAAACAGGAAGGGAAGTTTCAAAGTTCCCGGGGCTTTACAGGCTCCTGGATGGATGTCTGTTTTCCTGGCATCAAAGCAGCAGAGATGCTGGCCAGAGTGGTCACCTAGACACTGTGGGATATGCTCCGGAGGCTAAAAGCTCTGTAAACAGGAAGAACGTGTTTTCACTTGCACATCACCACCAAAAGCATCACCGGTAAGAGCCGTACGCCGCTTGTGGAGGTGGTTTTCTTTTTGCTATGAAACTTCTGAGTTTCCCTGCAAAAACTCTTTGGCAAGTGTAGACGCTCCCACAGTTTTCGAGCAAAAAAGGGAATTTTTCCGCTTTAAATGGCAAATGTAGACATGCCCTTAGTCTCTTGGGTTAAAGGCACTACATAAGCATTAAATATTATAGCAGTTTTCAGGATGGAAAATTTTCCTAAAGGTGTTCGGAAACAGAACAGGATTCCCCTTAGCAGATAACATGGTTTGGACTGTAGAGTGGGCGAAAGATCAGGAGATGGAGGAATCAAAAGCGGGGGTGGGGGGGAGGGAGAACACAGGAGAGAAACATCTTAATGGAAGAGTGAAAACTTTTCCACAGACAAATGGCTGGATATTCTCTTTTTAAAATACATAACCTAGTTTTTTATTGAAGTCATATCAATACTTTTATACAGTTCAAGCTAATAATGCACATTTCTAAGATACAATTAAAAACCAGATGTCTGAGCTTAATGCACAAGCTGATTGTATTGATACGCCATTGCTGTGCATTCAAACAGCTTAAATAGACTCAAAATATCAAATAAAGCAAAAGATTTAATGGATTTCTGGCTAAATCCTGCATATGCAAAAATATCTTGATTCAACGAGGGAAAAAAGAGCAGATTCTGTGTCTTTACTTCTAGTCTGAAAAAGCAGACCAGAAATTAGCTGGTCCTGGGTCCTGCACTGCCTGCTGGGCCCTCCTGCTGGACCCCATGGCAGCTCCTCCTAGTACCATTGGAAACCTCAAGCCAACAAGGAGGGGGAGACAGGGCTGCCATTTAAGTAGGGCAGGGGGAGACAGGGAGACTGTTCATGGTCCCATTGCAAGGCAGAGAGCAGAGGTGAACAGAGCTGGCTATGTAGAGGCTGGTCCCTGCCACTGGCAGCAAAATCCAAGGGCTGGCAGTGCTGAAATGAGACACCACCACCCCCAGCTTGACAGGGAGTTGTGGTGCAGAGAGACAGGGCGGAGCCTGAGCTGCCACCCCCGCTGAGGCAGGCGTGCCCAATCCATGCACTCTGGCCTGCGATGGCAACTCCCCCGAGACCTGGGGGTGGACCAGGGCTGGATGTAAGAATGGGGAGCGGGGCTGAAAAATCTGCTCCAGCCCCAAAAGTAATATCTGAATTGGCACCATTGCCCCTGGGAGCCATGTTACCAGATGTGAGCCCAAAGGTGGTCACAACATTAAAGAATTCAGGAATCACTGAAACCATTTTTCTACAGGACATAGGAACATATTCTGCTTTCGGTTATACACAAGTAAATACAACACTGCAGACTTCGATAGAGTTAATCGAGACTTACCCTGGCATGACTGACAATAGGATCTGACCTCAAGTCTATAAACCTGTTTTCTAAAATGGTATTAAAATGCTACTGGAGAGGCAGTATGGTCCAATGGATAAGGAACTGGACTGGTACCCAGGAGACCCAAGTTCTTTTCCTAGCTCTGTGATCTTTAGCAACCTAGTTCCCCCTTCTGTTTCCTGTCCTGTCCTTTGTCTCATCTATTTGGATCATAAAGTGTTCAGGGCAGGGACTACATACACTGCCTAGCACACTGGGTCCACATTCTCAGATTGTACCTAATCTATACCAACCATAATTATAAAAAAATATTTTAAAAACAGTTTTAGCTAACACACACACTGGTAATTAAACATCCACCATTAGTTTTTAAAAACAGCTGTTAATTTACATTTTATGTTAAAAAAAAATCAAAAAACCCCAACAACTGTCCTTTCATTAAAAGTAATTAAATTCCATGCTCATGTGACAAGTGGATAACTTGATACTTGTATTTTGCTTGTTTTTAGACTGAACTAAGACCAGAAAATGTACAAAAAGTCTCACACAGATCAGAAGAATGGGGAGGGTTAGGAGGACGTTTGGCTCAGTTATCCCTTATTTAAAAGCATGTTACTACAATACTCTTCAGTAATAATCCAGTTACACTGTACTAACATTTTGATACAGTGTAGCATTTGGTGCAGGGGATAACGATACTAACCTCCTTTGTAAAGTGCTTTGAGATCTAGCGATGAAAAACACTATATAAAAGATATTCTATTTTGGGCTACTACTCTACAATACCCGTACACCTGTATCTTTATAGATATCTGGGGACCTTTACAGCCCCCAATTACTCTGTACCTGTGCACCTCACAATCATTAATGGATTTTATTCTCACAATCCCCATAAGAGACAGGGAAGGACAATCTACTTTTTACACATGGGGAACTGAAGCACAAGGCATATTAAGTAACCTACCCAGGGATCTGTGAGAAACACATGACTGAGACAGGAATTCATCCTAGGGTACCTGAGGTCCATTGCACTGCCTTGATTCCAAGACCACCCTTCTCTCCCTCTGCCCAAGGCTCAAATGGTGTGATTTGCAGAAAGAGAAAGTGATGCCCTTGTTGCTAAGACTGTCCTTTCCCCAAGAAATTTTTAAGAATACCTGCTGTTTAGTGTGTTCCAGATAACTTTTGTTTGCTCTTCTCAAGTTTCTTTAGAGATAGCAAAGATTTGACAATGTCCAGAGGGGAAAGAAAGAGGAACTCAATCAGAAGCATGGAAATCATATCACACACCTGGACTTAATCCCAAATACTGCTTCCTAACCACAGTCTGCCATATGACAACCATTACTACTATGTACTGGAAAATCAAACCTCAAGAGATTATAAGCAATGTCATCACAATTACACACAACCACCACCTCTGTCAAGGCCTACCATCCTTATCCTACCTACCACAAAACCCTCTTCAATTTAAACCCTGCATGCTGGCTGGCTGAATCACTATGACTTTTAAACTCCAATTTTAAAAACAGCACTTTTGCTCCTTTACACCATGTTTATCAAGAATATGAGGGGAGCTGGCCCTTTTCACACCCTGCTGAGGTTAGGAAGCTATAGTCCTTACCCTTAGGGCAGTCTTGCAACCACCCCTCTCATACCTTCTCTTATTCCTAAAATTTAGGAAAAGGGGGGGGAGGGAGGCAGGGCTGCTGGTTTAGAAGGTCAAAGGAACTGTAGCCTTTCCAGCTCTCAGCACCTGGGTAGGGAGCAGTAGCTTGTGCTCCCATATGGATCCCCTAGAAAGAGAAGCTGCAACCCCTATTCTAGCCTGAGCCTTGTGGAGGACCCTGTTCCCCACGGCAGACCTATAAATGGAGCTGTCTTCTTCCCAGTTCCACGGGGGGGAGGGGGACAGGAAATGTCTCCCGGCTGTTCTTGGTGGTGCCCTGAGAATGATAATCCTCCCTCATGCTGTAAGTGGGGGCTCTGCCCCCTCCATTCTCCCCTCCAGGGACCCCATTGAGACCATCCTGTGAGGGTGGTCTCCTCCCCCCATTCCCGCTACAAGTGGTCCCAGCACCTCCCCGCTCCCAGGCCCACCGGGCGCCGGGATCCCCACTCCGCCTGAGGAGCCGGGCTGAGAAACTTTGCGCCTAACAATGAAAGCCCCAGAGCAGGAGCCCTCCGCGCCACCGCCGTTCCGGGTCACTTAGATTCTCCCGAGGGGAGGGAGCCCAGCCGCGGCCCGGGCTGCTCCGCGGAGCGCTCGGGGGGCAGGAAAACGGGGGAGGGAGGGAACCACTCACAGCTTCACCACATTCTGTACCACCGCCGCCATCTTCCTTCCGTCGCCTGGGCCCGTGTGGCCGCCCAGTGCGCACGCGCCGGGCGCAGAACGGCTGCTACCGACTCACCCCGCCTACCCTACGTTGCGCAAGCGCCAAGGACCACGGGCCCACCCCTCTCCTTCCACCCCCCGCCTCCGCCGCTTGACCATAATTACGCATGCGTCGAGGAAAAAAATACGTGCCTGCCCCTTCTCTGTGTCACCAATGCGCATGCGCTACCGCAGAGGCGACCTCCCCGCAATACCCATACGGCAGAGAGAATGACCGACCTTGTCGCTACTACATTACGCATGCGTACAAGAGCCCGCTCCTAAGAGAGCCTAGGGCGTGAAACTTCCTTGCACCGGCCCTGGGTGAAGGGAGGGAGGTGTCGCTGTGCAGTCCCCAAGAGGCCAACCCGGCTCCTTCACTGCACCAGCTACTGCTGCTGCGTGTGGTACTGACTGGTGCTGTCGTTGGGCTTTCTTGCCTCACCAGAGTGGCTGATCTTTTTTTCTGACCTCTGGACCGTGCTGGCATGGGGTGTTTGTTGGGAAGAAAGGTTCCCCAGCTGCTCTGTGTAAACATGGGGGGAGGGGGTCAGTGACTGGGGGGGGGGGAATAGTGTGAGGTAGGTTGTTAAATTTTGCCTTATAAAAGTGAAATACTGTATCTATAATTCCCTAATGTAAACCATGCCCCCAGGGGATTGGGCACTACAAATGCCATGTGCACGCATTCCCACATTCGTACAGAATAAGTCTGATGGGAACCAGCATGTTGAGCTTTAGATCAAGAGACATTATGAGGAATCTCTGTCAAATAGGGGGGAGACAGGTTGTGCCTGCAACGGACAAGACTCTTGTTCTGCTCATCGTTGTCTGCTGGGTAGTGCCCTGTCTCCAGTTGCCCCTCGTGCAGGACTGCTGCTTCTTGGGATGTTTATGGCTTTGGAGACATCACATGAATCTATGCTGCACTTTGAAACAGAAACATTTATTTGCCAGCCCACCTGCATTTGGAGAGGCTTACACCCTCAGATTTAACCTCATAAAATGCTTATTGCCCGTGTTTGGAAGGTAAGCACCCTCAACACAATGGGAAACACAAATGGAAGTGTGGGGAGTGGGAGAGAGTACTCAAATGTGTGTATTTTAGGGTAAGACAAATCATCTAATGGATAGAGCATTGGGCTAGGATTCAATAAACCTGGATTTAGTTCCTTCTTCAGCCACAGATTCCCAGGGGCAAATCACTTAATCTGCCCTGTGGTTCTGTTTGGCTTTTGTAAAAAAAAAATAAAAAAAATGGGTGTAATGCTTTCCTACCTCGCAGGGGTGTTGTGAAAATAAAATCTGTGAGTTGCTCAGATACTGTGGGAACAGAATAAGTACCAACATGGATAGACTTGGATCTAAATTCTCCCTCTCGATGTATGGGGTAAAAAAAAATGTGGGTGAAAGTGTATTGCTTTATTTTGAGTCTGTTCTTGCACAGTGTGTTTTTTGCAGATCAGATGCACCCAGCATCTTCCTGACACTTTCTTGGCTTGTTAACTAGGAAAGATGAGAGCAGCAACATTTTTGCTCTGCCTTTTTTTCTCTTCCATTACAAATTGTAGGTTCCTTCCCCCCTGCAGCCTTTCCAAGACACAGTTTAGCTCTTTGTTTAAAGCTTCCCCTTCCCAGTAATTAGTTTTGCAGTTGGAGTCTAACGGAAGGGTCTGCACGACACACATTTCAACTTTTGTTCAGAAGGAGGTGCCCTTGCCAACCCCGGAAGAATTCCGCTTGCTGAGGTGCCAGTTTGGCTAGGTAGAGTTTCTCAGATTTCCCAGTGCTGGCCAGGAGGGCTAAAATGTTTCCATTGAACTCTCTTTGTTTCCCTGAAACACATTGGCTGCTCGTTATTTTTGCACAATAGGGATCAGGGATCTGAAAGTACCAAACTCTTATCCAGGAGTTGTAGAAGCCATTTGGCCCTTTAAAATAAGTTGTCTGAATAATTCCCTTGCTCCAGGCAGATATAAATTCCCTGCAAGTAACATGCCCAGCAGACTTCCAAGTGATACAAAGGTTTGCTGAAATTCCCACAGTGGACATTGGTGGCAAATGATGGGTGTGGGCGGTGGCTGTGCCTATGCAAATCCCATCCCAAATCACTCTAAGGCTGATGTGCACCGATGCAGTTTAGCTCTTCGCTTGCTGTTTGCTCGCTGAAACCAAAGGAAACATCAGTGATGCAAACAGCAGCTTTGCCTGTCAACACTAGCATTTTGCACTAGTAACCCAGGCAAGTATATCCACTGTAGACAAGGCCTATTTTGTAATTCTCCATGTGATCTGTAAGGAAATCAACATTTCAGGAACTGGTGCACTGATGTCAGATCTCCCCACTTTCCAGCCTGAATGGGATGATGTTTCCTGTTGGGACAAAGTAAGAAGAACAAGACATGGTTTCCATATCAACTCTAGGCAATCTTGGATGCCCAACCAACGAAGTGCATTCCCCAATTTCTTTCCTTCTTCCATCTGCACAATTTCTGCATTCTTTTTTGCCTCTCTCTTCCTCCAGGCCTCTTCTCAGCACTCACTTCCCATTTCTAGTAATTTGTCTCATAGGGAGCTTGCATCCTACCTCCAAGATCATATGGAGAGTCAAAAGCACAGCTAGGATTAGAATACAGGAGATCCCTATGTGATTTACCCACTAGATCCAGGAACAGAATTTAGGGGTCTCAATTTTGTTGCTTGCTCTAACCTTTAAGCCACCATCCTAGAGCTGGAATAGAACCCAGGAGTCTTCACTCAGGTCCCCTCTCTCAAACCTCCAGATTACTCTCCCTCCCAGTGAGATAGAAAACTCTTCATCCCAGAAGATAGAAAACCAAAGGGGACTCAATTTCATTCTGCCATCATGGGCTCACATACAATATTGGATAGGTTGGAACTAGTAATTTTCCTGGCAGAATGACCCATACTTTTTAAAACTAAGGTAAAAAGTCGTATGTGTGGCGCTTTGGAATGATCATTTAGGTTATTCTCTGATTTGAGAAGTGAACAATCAAGAAAAGCTAGTTAAAAATTAAACAAAACAGAACTAAACAGGTTAAAAAGGGTCAGGGAGCAAAAGGAAGTTGTCGTCACCAGCGCTGTGGGAAATCTCTGAGGTTGGCCAGATTTATTCAGTGGTTTTTACTGGCTTTGTAAGAGAGGAATAAGGCAATACTTATTGCAACATTTTAAATGGGCAGGAAGCCAGGGAGAAAACTCAGGAAGAAATGTGTGATAGCTTGGCTAAGTGTACTCTGAATACAGCTTCCATCAAAGACACTGTCAGCTTGACAAGAAGAGGAATTTACAAACAATCAGAAGATGAGAAAGCGGGCCAACTCGCTGTGAGAGAGTAAGAAGCAAGTTCTCACCATGATCTAAACTATTCTATTCGATATAACATTATGTTGGAATGTGTTAATGGCTGCCATGAAGTGGGTCTTTTAACTGTAGATAATCAAAGACCTGCTTAGAGCTGATGGATGAATACAGCACACTTCTTTCACCCTAAACGAAGGAGCAGTTAAGCCTCTTGAGCTGGAAACAGTAAAAGTCACCCCCCAAAACAATGGGCCATGTGGCAAGGTCTGATCTGAAGCTGAGCCAAATGGGCTAAGAGCTTCCCTGATTTCAAATACAGAGGGTAAAGGATGGTTTGGCAGATGTGGGACAGAAAATGTCAGCAGATAGCTTAGCAAAAGAAACAGTTCAGGCATGGCTACACTTGCAAATGTAGAGCGCTTTGAGTTAAACCAGCCTTCGTAGAGCGCAATAGGGAAAGCGCTGCAGTCTGTCAACACTGACAGCTGCAAGTGCACTGGCGTGTCCACATTTGCAGCACTTGCAGCAGCATTGGAAGTGGTGCATTGTGGGCAGCTATCCCACAGAGCACCTCTTCCCATTCTGGCGCTGTGGTTTGTGTGAAGGGGGCGGGGCATTCTGGGTCCTGTCCCAACGCCCCATGATGCATCGGTTCACATTCCAGCAATCCCTCTGCTTCCGTCCACAATTGGCGCCATCTTTCAACATTTTTTGTACTGCGCGCTCTGTCTTCCTTTTCGATCTGCGGGAATGGAGCCCAAACTGCTGAGGAATATGCTGACGAGTCTCGCCAGCACGTCACGTTTGGCAGTCGAGTTATTCCTTAAGATCCAAAGTGACAGTGAGGACTCCGACAATATCGACTCGAGTAACACATACGAAATGAGATTGCTTGTGGCATTCACCGACATGCTCACCACCTTGGAACGGCGCTGAGTGGTGGGATCACATCGTCATGCAAGTCTGGGATGATGAGCAGTGGCTGCAGAACTTTCGGATGAGAAAAGACACTTTCATGGGACTGTGTGATGAGCTTGCCCCCACCCTGCGGCACAAGGACACGAGACTGAGAGCTGCCCGGTGGAGAAGCGGGTGGCTATTGCAATCTGGAAGCTGGCAACTCCAGAGCTACCGATCGGTCGTTAACCAGTTTGAAGAAGCCATTAATCGCATCCTGCTCAGAAGAACCATGACTCTGGGTAACATGCATGACATTGTGGTTGGCTTTGCACAAATGGGTTTCCCTAACTGCGGAGGGGCGATAGATGGGATGCATATTCCAATTCTGGCATCAGCCCACCTAACCTCCGAGTATGTTAATCGGAAGGGCTATTTCTCTATGGTTCTCCAGGCACTTGTGGATCACCGTGGGCATTTCATTGGCATTAACGTAGGCTGGCCCGGAAGGGTGCATGACACATGCATCTTTTGGAACACTGCTCTGTTCAGGAAGCAGCAAGCTGGGACTTTTTTCCCAGACCAGAAGATCACCGTAGGGGAAGTCAAAATGCCCATTGTGATCCTTGGAGACCCCGCTTACCCATTAATGCCATGGCTCATGAAACCCTACACAGGGAGCCTTGACAGCAGCAAGGAGCGGTTCAACAACAGCCTGAGCCGGTGCAGAATGACTGTGGAGTGTGCTTTTGGCTGTTTAAAGGGCCGCTGGTGCTCTCTGTATGGGAAGCTGGACTTGGCCGATAACAGTATCCCCACGGTTATATCCACGTGCTGTACCCTTCATAACATTT